GTATTTTGTCAAGTGCTTTTTCTCCATCTATTGAGAAGATCATATGGCTCTTATCCTTTCTTTTATTAATGTGGTGCATCATATTGATTGATTTGTGAATACTGAACCCAGGAATGAATCCCAGTTGATAGTGGTGAATGATTCTTTTAATGTACTGTTGGATTCAATTTGCAAGTGTCTTGTTGAGAATTTCTGCATCCATGTTCCTCAGGGATAGTGGCCTCCAATTCTCCTTTTTAGTGGGGTTTTTTATCTGGTTTGGGAATCAAGGTAATGTTGGCCTCATACAATGAATTTGGAAGTTTTCCTTCCATTTCTAGTTTTTGGAACAGTTTGAGACGAATAGGTATTAACTCTTTTTTAAATGTTTGGTAGAATTCCCCTATGAAGCCATATGGCCCTGGACTTCTGTTTGTTGGGAAATTTTTGATTACTGATTCAATTTCTTTGCTGGTTATGGGTCTGTTCAAATTATCTACTTCTTCCTGTTTCGCTTTTGGTAGTTTGCATATTTCCAGGAATCTATCCATTTCTTCCAGATTGCCCAGTTTGTTGGCATATAATTTTTCATCATATCCTCTTATAGTTGTTTGTATTTCTTTGGTGTTGGCTGTGATCTCTCCTCTTTCATTCGTGATTTTATTTATCTGAGTTCTTACTCTTTTCTTTTTGGTAAGTCTGGCTAGAGGTTCATCAATTTTATTAATTCTTTCAAAGAACCAGCTCTTAGTTTCATTGATCTGTTCTACTGTGCCTTTTTGGTTTGTTTGTTTCCATATCATTTATTTCTACTCTAATCTTTATTATTCCCCTTCTGCTGGCTTTAGGCTTTATTTGCTGTTCCTTCTCTTTTGAGGCTTCAGGTTTTTTTTTTTTTTAAAAAACGTTTATTTATTTTTGAGACAGAGAGAGACAGAGCATGAACGGGGGATGGTCAGAGAGAGGGAGACACAGAATCCGAAACAGGCTCCAGGCTCTGAGCTGTCAGCACAGCTGTCAGCACAGAGCCTGACGCGGGGCTCAAACCCACGGACCGCGAGATCATGACCTGAGCCGAAGTCGGCCACACAACCGACTGAGCCACCCAGGCGCCCCTGCTGTTCCTTTTCTAAGTGTAAGCTCAGGTTGTATATTTGAGACTTTTCTTGCTTTTTGAGATAGGCCTGTATTACGATATACTTCCCTCCTGTGACCACATTTGCTGCATCCCAAAGGTTTTGGACTGTCATGTTTTCATTTTCATTTGCTTCCATGCATTTTTTTTTAATTTCTTGTTTAATTTCCTGGTTAACCCACTCATTCTTTAGTAGGAGGTTCTTTAACCATGTATTTGTGGTCTTTCCAAATTTCTTCTTGTGGTTGACTTCAAGTTTCATAGTGTTGTGATCTGAAAATATGCATGGTATGATCTGTTTTTTCATACTTTGTGGAGGCCTGATGTGTGACCGCAGTATGTGATCTATTTGGGAGAATGTTCCACGGGCACTCAAAAAGAATGTGTATTCTGCTGCTGTAGGATGAAATGTTCTGAACACATCTGTTAAGTCCTTCTGGCTCAGTGTGTCATTCAAAGCCCTTGTCTCCTCGTTGATTCTCTGCTTAGATGATCTATCCATTGCTATAAGTGGAGTGTTAAAGTTCCTTACTATTGTTGTATTGTTATCAATGAGTTTCTTTACATTATTCATTGATTTATATATTTGGGTGCTACCAAGTTGGGGGCATAAATATTTATGATTGTTAGATCTTCTTGATGGACAGACTCCTTTATTATGACACAGTGATCTTCTTCATCTTGTCCTTGGTTTAAAATCTAGCTCGTCTTATATAAGTATTGCTACTCCAGCTTACTTTTGACATCCATTTGCATGATAAATGTTTCTCCATCCCTCACTTTCAATCTGCACGTGTCTTTAGGACCAAAATGAATCTTTTAAGCAGCATATAGATGGGCCTTATTTATTTATTTATTCATTTATTTATTCAATCCATTCTGATACCCTATGTCTTTTGATTGGAGCACTTAGTTCATTTACATTCAGAGTAATTACTGATAGATAAAAATTTGGTGCCATTGTATTACCAATAAAGTTGCTGATTATGGAGATTTTCTCTATTCCTTTCTATTCTTTGTTGCTTTTGATCTTTCTTTCCCACTCAAAGGGTCCCCTGTAACATTTCTTGAAGAGCTGATTTAGTGTTCACAAACTCCTTTAGGTTTTGTTTATCTGGGAAACTCTTTATCTCCCCTTCTATTCTGAATGACAACCTTATTGGATAAAGTATTCTTGGCTGCAGATTTTTCCCATTGCACATGCTGATGATATCCTGCCACTCCATTCTGGCCTGCAGGTTTCTGTGGAGACATCTGCTGCAAACCTGATTTGCCTTCTCTTGTAGGTTAGGGATTTCTTTTCCCTTGCTCTTTTCAGCATTCTTTCCTTACCTCTATATTTAAAAAAATTTCACTATGATGTCTTGGTGTTGGCTGGCTTTTGTTATATTTGATGGGAGTTACCTGTACCTCCTGGATTTGGATGTCTGGCTCCTTCCCCAGATTAGGGAAGTTGGAAGCTATAATTTGCTCAAATAAACCTTCTGCCCCCTTTCCCCTCTCTTCTTCTGGAACTCCTATGATACAAATGTTATTACACGTTATGGAGTTGCTGAGTTCCCTAAGTCTACATTCATGATCCAATACTTTTCTTTCTTCTCTTCAGGTTCATTATTTTCCATAGCTTCTATATCAGATTCATTCCTCTGCTTCATCTATCCTTACTTCATTACATCCAGTCTGTTTTGCATCTTTGTTATAACATTTTTTATTTCAGCCTGACTAGTTTTTAGCTCTTTTATCTCTGCAGTAAGGACTTCTCTAATGTCTTCTATGCTTTTCTCAAGCTCAGCTAGTATCCTTATGATTGTTGTTTTAAATTCTAATTCAGGCATATTACTTATATTTGTTTTGAGTAAATCCCTGGCCATGACCTCTTCTTGTTTCTTTTGGGGCAAATTCCTCCATCTTGTCATTTTGACTAAGCCACTGTTTTTGTGTATGTGTTAGGAAAGACTTATATGTCCTGCTGAGTGTAATGGCTGTATTAAGAAGAGGTCCTATACTGTTCAGGGCCTGGCACGTCAGAAAGTATTTCAGAGTGTGCACTCTGCAGAGAGTGGCTGCTCTTTCCCTCAGGTCAGTTCTTTGCAGTGTTTCTCCTTGCCTGCATTGGGGAGTGTTGGGACCTTGTCCAGTGTGTGGCATTTTAACTAGGTGTGCTTTGGTCTGCTTGTTAAAATAAGCCTGATCCTATTTCCACTAGAGCTGAAACTTTGCCACACTCTATCTATCAAGTTCAGAAGAATTGATACGTGTGGAGGATTTGTGTTGGTCTTTGGGGGAAGGAGCCTGTTGTGCTGGTTATCAGGCCAACTTGCTATAGTAAAAATGCACCCACAGGGCACCTTGGGGTGGGGCCTGGTGTAAGCAGCTCCAGCCTCCACTGGGGGCAGTGTGTTGCTCATTGAAGTTTCTCTGTGCTGATGGGCAGGGGGGGAAATGGGTCACCCCACTCTCTCATCCCCAAAAAGGGGAGTTCGCATCTGCTGCTGTTCAGGAAGGCTTCACAGAAGAGCAAACAATCTCCTCTCTTATGTCCCAGGCTTCTGTCAGAACTCTGCTTTCATCTGGTGCCCAAGCCATCTGCCTGTCTGGTGGCACAGACCTCCTGTGTTTTATCTCAGGCATGCAGCTGGGTTTCAAAAACTCCAAATTTTAGGGACCCAGCGCAGCACAAATCTATGCTGATCCTCTGGAAAAGGGTCTCGCCACGCTATAGTTGGTGCCAGTTTGTTCCAGAAAAGCAGTCACATGCCCACGCAGGGGGCTTGGAATTCATGGTAAAACACAGCCAAAAGCTGGTTTCTTGGCTAGCTGCCTTCAGCAGGTGCCTCTACTGCAATGCTAATTAATGAGGTGGCTCAATGGTGTCTGCCATCTCTTTTGTCCCCTGAGAGGCAGTACCACCTCTCCCAAATAAACTCCAAGAAGGGGAACTGTTTCTCCTAGTGAGACCCAGGAGATCCTCAGACCATTCTGTCCACTCCGGGGCCTCTGCCCTCCTTTCCCACAGGAGCACCCCTAAGTCTGCCAGGCATGACCCGAACAATGGTGCAGAATTCTAAAACTTCAGATTTTGAGCTTCATGCTTGTATGCACTTACAATAATCACCCCCTCACCTCCTCCCAGTCAAGGGTTTTGGGGAAGACTTTCTTGTGCAACCCTGTGCACTGCTTTCTCTCACTGTCTCTGTGACCAGGGCTCCCTCTCCTCCACAGCACCTACAGTTCTTTTCTCCCCCAAGTCAACTCTCCACAGCTCCTACCTTCCACGATGTGCCTGTTTTTCTCTCCAGATGTGCAGTTTGTTCTCTCAGTCTTCAGATCAATTCCTTGAGTGTTCAGAATGATATAGTATTTATCTAGCTGTGCTTGAGGGACAAGGCAAGCATAGGGTCCCTCTACTACTCCACCATCTTAACTCACAAACACCCAGGACCATACCAAAGATTTTAAGTAATTTCTACACCCAATGTGGGGCTAAACCCCCAGATCAAGAGCCACATGGTCCACCAACTGAGCCAGCCAGGGACCATAAAATGAACTTATTCTGAGATACACTGGTATTCCTTCTTCACCTTGATCTACTACCTTCACACAAAACTATTTTAACATTTTCAAAATGTTATTTTCAAAGCTGTGACTGGCCTTTCATTGACTGGCATCCTCTACCAGAAAATTTAATTTTGTTTCTCCATCCAAATGTTTCTGTAAATATTAGTCCTTATGATTTGCTAAGACTAAAACAGCACAATGATAACATTACTAAACAGATCAGTCTAGAAGAAAAACTATTCATGTAACTAAATACATTCACACTTCTTCAGCTTTAAAATTTTTAAATTTCTAACATTATTTCCAATAGCTTATTTAAAGGACATACCGGAAGCTGTGAATGCCCTGAAGTTCCTGCTGTAGAACCTCTTGTGTTGTTGCTATTAAGTCCAATGCTCCAACAAATTCAGAAGTGGATAACAACACCTGTACTGTAGGCTGAGTTTGGTGTACAGTGGCCATTAACTTGAGTTTATTGTACACTTTAACACAATTATTTCTGGTAAGTGCCAGTCTTAAAATGTGTAGTGATCCTTCACACATTACTTTATCAATCTGTGCAATTTTATCTCGAAGCATTTTTACAGCCTGGGAAGTTTTCTTGAGGTAGTCCTGCAATTCGTGTTGAGAGGTCATAGCATGAAAAAATGCTTCTGAACGTAGAGAGATCTGGTGAGCAATGTTTACTTCCACAATATCCAGATAATGGCTCAGCTTAAGAGGGAAGAAAAAAAATCATAAGAGTATTGTAAGTATACCTTCTTTGACTATCCACATACTTTCTGAAAATGATACAAGATTTCTATATGTATTTTAAATCCCATTGTGTGAACTATTTGATTATGGAATTCTTGATATTGAGCATAACAGAACAGAAGGGAGATAAAAGGTAACAGCCCAAATATTAATAAATTTAAGACAAAAGAGTAGAAGAAGCTGATTTACCTTCTTCCTCTGCTCCTGCTATTACTGCCCTCCAAATACCAACTACTTTCTAGAAAGTAAGAGTCATCAGAGATCATTATCTAGTTTTAGAAGTTCTAAGATCTGAGACAGAATGATCTCCTTAACCGTCACACCATCACACATCACTTATCTGACTAAAAGCTTATTATAGTTACTGTTTATTGACCTCCTCCTTCTATATACCGGGCACTGGTATTTTATACACATAATTTTCTAGTTCTAACAATCTTAGAGTACAAGTATTATTTGTATTCTTATTTTTACAGATGAGGAAACTGAGGCTCAGAGACATTAAATAATTTGAATAAAGTCATGTGGTTAGTAAGTGGAAAAACTAAAATTTGAATCCAGGCCTGACTCAAAAACTGAAGCTCTTTCTATTATACCACACTTCTGCAAAATACTAAAGAATTCATGATCCAGTCACAAATTATGGAAAGTAGTAGAATTCACTGGGACATTTTTTTCAAGGCTGCTTATCTTACATTTCAAAAATTATTCTTGGGGCGCTTGGGTGGCTCAGTCAGTTGGGCGTCCGACTTCGGCTCAGGTCATAATCTCGCAGTTCACAAGTTCAAGCCCTGCATGTGGCTCTGTGCTGACAGCTCAGAGCCTGGAGCCTGCTTCGGATTCTGTGTCTCCCTCCCCCTCTGCTCCTCCCCTGCTCATGCTCTGTCTGTCCCTCTCTCAGAAATAAATAAACATTAAAAATATTTTAAAAGATTATTCTTTTATCAATCTGTAAAACTCAGTTTATTGCCAATATATTTTCCTTTTAAAATATGCCTTAAATGAATTCACATTTTATTTGTAACACAACCAAGATTAATTCCTAGAGTAACATATATTTAAAAATACTTTCTAATTTCAAATATGGGCTTCTAACACTTGAGTTGTCTTTTCTTCCTTTCTAATTGCATATGCATATGCTACATTATCTTCTACTTCTCTCCCACTTTTTAACTTTTAGATTCTTCAACCTATAGCTCAAGCTCTAGGCATTCTCTCTCAACATCTCACGAGAATTCACAGTGCTAAAGGGTTAATGGGCTTTCAACATGTAGGACTCATAAAATTAGAAGAGATTATTTGGTCACCAAGATTGTTTCCTCAAAACCATGCAAGATCACACATATCTTCAACAAAGCTCCTTCAGTAATCTATCATAATATATAATAGGTTACAAACAAGAAAATTTTCCATAGTTTAAATCTCTTCAGTTTATACCCTTTTACTGTTGTTCTTTTCATCTTCAACACGTCTGTGCACTTATTTACCTAAAAAGCAATATGGGGACAAAGGTACTTGGGTACATTGCAAGCTAAAGTAGACTCAATTTTCAGAATAGTAAATGGAGAATGAGTAACTCCTTTAGGAGAGTGCTACTCAGAATTCGGTCTATATGCTGCTGCCAGTCTGTGAACTATTTAAGAGGTCCATGATAAAATAAGGAAATTTGCTGGAAAGTAAATCAACTATATCACTAAGTCTACTGAACTGTTTTTTCATAGAAAGACTTTAATAAAGGAAGCACTGCAATGATTTACATTCTAGTGCAAACCACTAGGTTTCATCACAAACCAGCACTTTGGGTAGCATTACAATAAAATACAAATTATCTAACCCTGGCTGTAGCATTCCCTCTCTTAAAACATAGCAAGATATAAACAGCTGTTTGTCAATCGTAAAGTGAGTTTGAAAGTGTTCTCTTGGGATCCTTTCTTCCACTCCTTTTCTAAGACAAGAGTAGAATAAGATGAAGCCCAAATGTAAATATAATGATCTTAATTCTGCAACTTACCAAAATAAAATTCCATTACTTTAGTCACTTTATACATTTACCAGGAGAAAATTCTTTCATTTGAATTTCAAAGATTTCTGCAAGTTATCAATATTCCATTGATCTATTCTTTTCAACAGCATAATATTTTCATAATTCATTTCCTATTAAAATTCTATAAAGGGAACAATTTTTAGTCTTCCTAAAAGTATTTAGGAAGTATTAGTATTTAGGAAGAGATTTTCATTGGCTTTTGTTGTTTTCTCTTTTAAGGTGACTAGTCTAGCAGGGCATATATTGGAATGTGAAAAAAAGCAGTCTGAGAATGAGCCTGTGTCCATAAACCCATCATTTTCATCGAATTTATGAATTTGTTCCTACTCAAGGAAAACCTTTATATGTGAAAATGTTGCCAAAGGAAAAATTACTTCATTTTTATTTTCAACTGTAAGAAAAAGAATACTCATGATTCTTTCCTTACATGTCTTCTCCTCTTCTCCCCAAACTAGTTTCCTCTTCAGTTACTGGACCTCATTTATTGAATAGTAGTCCTGAGACAAGTTTCCAGACTGCCAAGAGATGTCACTAACCTGAAACAAAATGCTTTCTTCTCAGTTTAAGAACCAGTTTTAGAAACGCTCTAAACTGAATGCTGGGAAAGAATAGGAATCAAAGACCTTTACTTCCTATTCAAGTTTTAAAAGATTCTTGATATAGGAGTTAAGATGTGTTTAAAATTCTACATTTTAAATGACTTTCAAGATGCTGATTTCTCCCTTAGAGAACACTATAAAAATTTTTAGAAACTGCTGACTACTAACATGTAAAAGATCAGGCTTTGCAAAGCTAAAAATACTATATTTTTTAACTATACTTTTGCTTCGAAATAATCATCCTTACTATGTATAAATAAGGAAAAACAGCACCTTTGCAAAAGTTGATTTTCCATGCCTTAAATCATAAAGAATATAAAATTTGCCAATGTATTTTTGGAGATAAATGTAAAGCAATTAATTGTGTTGTCTAATACATCCTTCCAACCTAAATTCTAGCAACTGCTATTTTGGATAAGAAGCACTCAAACAATTAGCTTTTCCTTTTTCACCAGTACAACTTGTTTTCCATTGAATCAAATGTTTTTACTTTTATCAGTTAAAATTTGAAGGCAGTAACAATAAAAATGAAATTAAATTAGCCCTTACTAAATAACTAAATCTGAACCCACACAAAAGGTACTACTTAACTATAATAAAGTTTTCTACATGGGAAAAGTAAAAAAGAAATTACCTTTTCTTGTAGCAACTTTGAGGAAGCTGCATCACGATTTCCTTTTCCACCAGCAGTATTAAAATGAGACCATGGTAAAACTGAATTAAAAGTTAAGGAATCGTCCAAGGCAAAATCTGGTTTCATAAAAATCTATTAAAAAATGTATTTTCCTCGATTAGATAAACATTTCTTTTACATCCATTATCCCTTCAAACATCATAAGACCATTAATAATAAACTTGGATCTCAAGCATAAACAGAAAAGCAAGTGATATGCTGATTTACACAAGAATCTGTATAAACATGTATAGTTTCATCAAGTTTAAAATACTCATAAAAGACAGAAAAATGTTTTTTGTCTTTACCAATGGAGATAATCATTCCATTATTATGTGATCAAATTCACTAATATAGTACCACTAAGATTATACCAAAGGGAGACATCCTCTTTATCCAAAAATTTCTATATTATTTCCCCCACTGATAGAAGTTTTTAAAAAAATCCCAAATGTCAATTTCTCTATATTTCTATTTTCTCCTGCTTAAAATGTTTTCAAAATTACTTTGTAGATTAGATATATACTGAATTTTAAAACCAAAACAAATTCAATTTTATGAAAAGACTACTCTTTTTCCTTTACATACTGCATTCATCTGGGCACTAAGTCCTACCCACTATATTTTCTAAATAATACTTGAATCCTCTCTCTCTTCTAAGTCTATAGCATTTCATCAGTGCAGCCCCTCATTACCTCTGGATTACAGACATGTCTATTTAATGATATGCTTCCTCAATCTATCCCCTCTACTAATGTCAGATATACTTTTTAATGTTTATATATTTTTGAGAGAGGGAAAGAAAGAGAGAGGATCTGAAACAGGCTCTGCGCTGTCAGCATAGAGCCTGACACAGGGCTCAAACTCACAAACCACTAGACCATGACCTGAGCAGAGGTTGGATGCTTAACCGACTGAGCCACCCAGGCACCCCATCAGATATACTTTTAAAATACAAGTATAACTGAATTAATTTCTGTTTTAATCTCTCAATGGATTCCCATGACCTCAGGACCAAACTTTTTAGAAGGGCATCAAAAGCCTTTCATTTTTTTTTTTTTTTTAACCCCCTCACTGACTTGTATCTTGCCACTCCCACTACTTAGAAGTTACATTGTAGTAATGCTCAACTATCTTCCATACCCTTGTGCTGTTATCTTTGTATGCGCTTTCAGCCTAGAATGCTCTTTCCTATTTCCTAGAGAATACAACCCAAACAAAAGGACAAATTTATCTCCGTATGATTACTTTACTCGATCTCTGAACACATCAATTACCCCATCTTTGAACACAAGTACATATACCACATATATTTATGTATCTCATACTTTACAAAAATTATTTATTTAATATGTGTATTGCCCCCTGGAGACCATATGCTCCTGGATTTACAGCTAATTAATCTTTGTATCTCTACTACCTAGCATAAGGCCTGAAACACAGTTTAACTTAACTACTTACCTAATTAATTTCTATATTTTATTTTTACTGATTGATTTTACCTATATCCAAAAACTAGTATAAAGGGATAGGGAAAATCTAACTAGGGACATGAGTGTATTTTCTAGTCCCGCTTTAGTATATTTTAAAGTACTTATTAATTCAATAAATATTTACTGATAATCTAACTCTTATGCTACGCACAAAAGGGGAAACAAAGATAAATTATTACATAGGTCTTAATCTTAAGGATCTTCAGTCCACTAGATGTGATAAAATACACACATAAATATCTTATAAAAAGTGACAAATGCCTTAAAAAGGAAGGCACAGGTCTACATAAAATGCTATGGAAATTCAGCAAAGGGGCCAATTATCTTCAGTTGGAAAGATATGTATTTATGTAAGGTTGCCATTTAAGCAAGAGAATGTAAAGAAAGGATCAGATATGAGGAGTTGAGGGAAAAGTCTTCCAGCTAAAGGAACAGTACAAGTAAAGCACAGAGCCAGCAAAAAAGTTTGGCTGAAATAAAGAATGTGTAAAGATTAGTAAGCAAAAGTTAAGAGAGTGATTATGATGGAAATGAATAATTAAGGGTCTTAAATGACAGAGTTTGAATTTTATTTTGTAGGAATCAAAGAACTGTAGAAATGACTGCCCTCTTCTTTTTGCTTCTGTCTTGTCTTTCTCTGTCTTCTCACCCTAGAGAGCAGTTATCACAGACCTCTTGGAGAATCTGATTAATGCAATGGCCTCTTTCCCCTGGGGGAACAGGGGGACATCTACTACATACCTCTACAAAATTTTTCACACAAAGGAAAGATCTCCTAATAATGTGAAGGGGCAGTAAGATCAATAAAATTCTTTTTTAGAATGGAGAGACGTAATTATATTTGTAAGTTTCAGCAACGAAGAAGAAACTGATGAAGTACAAGAGAGAAGAAAAATGATGCACAAAGTCCCACAAGACGCAAAGTGGTTAAAGTGTGAGAAAGTCAAATGAAAGCTTCTTATAAGGCAAAATTAAAGATATTTAAGATTATAAAAAGTTAAAGATATTAAAAAGCAGTATTCTCATTTATTAAAGCTTTGTTACCTTAGGTACTTGCTCCAGATCTGTCCTGGATTTATCTATGAAAAAGGGGAAAATATGATTTTTTAAACTTGTTTTCACTTTATTCCATAAAATACATTTTGACTAGATTCTGTACTATGCCACTATATAACCACTTAAATTCCCTCAACAAACATCTATCAGGTACTTCCTGTATGCCTAGTAGTAGACAAAACACTGAATAAATCCTAGGTTTCAAATAATTTTAACCAATTGCATGGTATCAATAAAACAACTAAATATATTTCAAGTCTTTTTTAAATGGACACAGAAAGCTTGTTGATATCTTATTAAGTTTTGGTGAAATTAAGTTTGGCATACAGTTAAAAAATGAATTCAATACTAATATAGGAATACTGTTTTTATTGTTCAAAATACCCACCATCCCATCCAGAACTTATGATCAAAGATTTTAACACCATATTAATTTTCTTCTTAGACATTTAGTTTGTATCAACAACAAACCTGCAAAGGAACCTACTTTACCTTCATCTCACCAACTAGATCTCAGAGGACATACCCTTTCAAAAGTAACCTTTCTGGGTTGGACTCCATGCCTTCCTGCCTCTTTCATGAGCTTGCTTCGTCCTCAATTACCCTGCCTCTTTCTGTATCTTCAACCTGTTGCCTTCTAATAGCTCTTCCTGTCTGCATACAAACATGCTCAGCTTTCTCCCATTAAAACAAACAAATAAAGATAAAGCTAAAACCCAGGGCCTGGAGTAGGCTGAGGCAAGGGAGGACCTCCAGTACAAAATTTAAGAAAGCACTCACTCTCAGGGTTATGCAAATGCCTCTCCCACCTCATCTTGTGTTGACCATGCAAAAACATTCATCCACTCTGTTCTAGATAGCCAATATCCTGTATCTCAAACCCTAAAGTCATACCCACATTGGTTGTCTCCATTTCTTTCTCTTGTACTCACTCCTTAACATATAGTATTGTGTTTTCTGTAACTATCACTTTAAGTCTGAATGTCCTCCTTAAGATCTCCTAAATTGCGAAATCCAAAGAAACTTCTCAGTGTGCAAACTGATCTATCATTACCAACAACTAACTGATGACCAAAACCTGTGCTTTGATCTCTAACTTATCTCTCAAATGCCTAAATTCTTTTCCATCTTCATTTTAACTGCTTTTGGGGCCACATGATTTCTCACTTGTATTACTTCAATAGCCTTTTACTATCTCTTTGTCTCCAATTTTACCATCTTCCTTAAATTTATCTTCTACAACTATTTTCACAGTGAAATGTATAATCATAAATCTGATCATGTCTGGTTAAAAATATTTTGTGGCTCTGTACTGCTTTTAGAAAAGAAAAATTCCTTAACATGGCATATAAGGCACTTCATATTAGGGCCAACTCCGCTGCCCACTTCTTCAGCCTCATATCTTGCTCCCAGAAGAGCCAATATACCCAACTCTTGTAGTTTCTTGAAGATGCTCTGTTCTCTCTTGACTCTACTGCTTTGCTTTTAGAGCCTTTTCCTAGAAGGCCTTTTCTCCACATAAATCTTTCTTAACAGCTACTTTAAAACACAGGCAATCATCAACTCTAGGAAGTTTTCTAAGGCTTAACAAATCAGGAGCTCTATACAATCTTACCACACTGAACTTACTGCTTGATATACAGTATTGCAACCTTACTCAGGACACTTTCAGCTTCTTGAGGACAAGTGTTCTTTCTTATTCAACTATTATTAAGCAACCAGCAAAGTACCAAGCACCCAGATGTTAAATAAATATTTGTTGAAGTGAAGGATAACACTATGAGCCCCATGATTTTTCTTTCTCAAAAACTTTTGAAAAAGATTATGATCACAGGCTATAAAAATTTCATCAGAAATAAAAGATCCCCAAATTAAGATTTTGTTTGTTGATATTTACACTGTGCTACAAATACCACATATTCATCTATATATTTTCTACAAATAGCACATATTCATACCATGAGTATGTAAGAGAGTCCTGTCAAAAGTATCTTTAGGAGGACAAATATTCTTGCATCTCTCATGAGTCTTCTCTTTCTATAAAAAGACAAATAACAAAATAAATGCTATGTAGCAATATGAAAGCATCAAAATATTTCACAAAAGAATATACCAAATTAGTTGTACAAATTTTAACATGAAATCACTAACCTCTTGAACTTAAACAAGTATGCTTAATAAACCAAATATGAACTCTTTGAACACCTATATGCTTATTTATACCCATCCCATTTTATATAATTATAGTAAAACCTCCATAAATTTGGAATGAAGTGGGGGTACAAATGAAAGATCCTTATTTACAGAACAGAAATCAATTGAGAATAACTTTTTAAAACAAGGAAGGAAATGTGAAAACCTATATACCTAAGATAGAAAGATAGGTATCAGTTAACCCTTTGTGACTCAAAGAAAAAGAAACCTCACTGACTTTAGATTAGATGATCACTAACAATTCTATCTTTTCAGAGACACCATAAATAGTACACATAGGGAAGTGGAGTATGGGTAAGGAAAAAATACTGAGCTGGTAGTGTTCAGAGCTCTGATAGCAACTGTGGCAGAAACTACAGGATTGTCTTCAAACATGGTTATACATTTTGCAGTCCTACCCACAACGAATAAGAGTTCCTATTAGCCTATATTCTTGCCAGCATTTGGTGCTATCAGTGTTTCAATTTCTGATAGATTTCAGTTCTCATAGATTTCAATTTCAAATTCTGATAGATGTGTAGTGGCATCTCATTGTTATTTTAATTTGCAATTCCCTAATGACATATGAGCATCTTTTCATGTGCTTATTTGACATCTATATGTATTCTTTTATGAGATGCCTGTTCAGATCTTTCACCCATTTTTTTTATTGTGGCAAAATATACATAAAATTTATCACTTAAAATGTGATTATTAGTGATATTGACTATCTTTTCACATGCTTATTGGTCATTTGTACATCTTCTTTGGAGAAATGTTCATTCAAGTCCTTTTCCCATTTTTCAGTTGGGTTGTTTCTTATTGTTGAGTTTTAAGAGTTATTTGTACATTTTGGATACCGATCCTTTATCATATATGTGTTTTGAAAATATTTTCTCCCAGTGTCTAGCTTGTATTCTTTCTTTTTATGGTCTTGCACAGAGTGGAAGTTTTAAATTTTAACTAAGTCCAACTTGTCAATTTTTTCTTTCATGGATTGTACTTTTGATGCCATTATCTAAAAAGTCATCACCAAACTCAAAGTCATGTATTTTTCTCCTATGTAATCTTCTAGTTTTACAGTTTTGCATTTTACATTTAGGTCTATGATCCATTTTGTGCTAATTTCTGTGAAAGGTGTGGGTAGTCTGTGTCTAGATTCTTTTTATTTATTTATTTATTTATTTTTTGCATGTGGATATCTAGGTGTTCCAGCACCATTTATTCAAAAGACTATGGAACTGCCTTTGCACCTCTATCAAAAATCAGTTGACTATATTTGTGTAGGTCTATTTCTGAGCTCTCTTCTGTTCCTTTGGTCTGTATATCTATTCTTTCACAAATACTACACTGTCTATATTACTATATCTTCACGGTAAGTCATGAAGTCAATTAGTGTCAGTCTTCCAACTTGGTTCTTCAATACTTTGTTAGCTATTCTCTTTTCCCTTTCTTTATAAACTTTGGAATTTGTTTCTTGGTATCTACAAAATAAATTGCTGGAATTTTAACTGAGATTGCGTTGAATCTATAGGCCAAGTTGGGAAGAACATTTTGACAATACTGAGTCTTCCTATCCACGTAAATGGAATCTCTATTTAGATCTTCACTGATTCCTTTCATCAGTTTTGTAATTATCCTCATATAGATCATATTCTGTTAGATTTATACCTAAGTATTTCATTTTCTTTGGTGCTAATGTAAATGGTGCTGTGCTAATTTCAAATTCTAATTGTCCATCAGTAGCATATAAGAAAGCAATTTACTTTTGTAATATTAACCTTGTATCCTGCAACTTTGGTATAATCGCTTATTAGTTCCAGGAGTTTCTTTACTGACTCTTTGGGATTTTCTACATAGACAATCATGATATCTGTGAATAAAGACAGTTTTATTTCTTCATTCCCAGTGTATATACCTTTTATTTCCTTTTCTTGTCTCATTGTGTAGAGTTTCCAGTACGATGTCAAAAGGAGTGGTGAGAACAGACATCCTTAGCTTGTTCCTGATCTTAAGTAGGAAAGCATCTAGTTTCTCACTATTAGTTGTAGGGTTTTTGTAGATACTATCAAGTTGAATTTGTTTCCCTTGGGGCACCTGGGTGGCTCAGTCAGTTAAGCGTCTGACTGGCTCAGGCCATGATCTCACAGTTGATGAGTTTGAACCCCACATCAGACTCTGTGCTGACAGCTCAAAGCCTGGAGCCTGCTTTGGATTCTGTGTCTCCCTCTCTCCCTGCTCTCCCCTGCTCGTGCTGTCTCTCTCTCAAAAATAAACATTAAAAAAATTAAAAAAAATAAAAATAAAAAGTTCCCCTATATTCCCAGTTTGCTGCATTTTTATCATGAATGGGTACTGAGTTTTATCAAATGTTTTCTCTGTATCTATTGATATGAACATACAACTTTTCTTCTTCAGCCTGTTAATTTATGGATTACACTAATTGCTTTTTGAATATTGGATCAACCTTACATATCTGGAATAAATCCCACTTAGTTATGGTATAGAATTCTTTCTATACGTTGTTGGGTTTGATTTTCCAATATTTTGTTAAGGACTTTTGCAACTATGTTCATGAGAGACAGTGGTCTGTAGTTTTCCTTTTTCATAATGTTTTTGTCTAATTTCAATATTAGGTTAATGCTGCATAAATAAGTTAGAAAGTATCCCCTTTGCTTCCATTTCCTGGAATAGATCATAAAGAACTGGTATAACTTCTTGCTTTAATGGTTGGTACAATTCACCAGTGAACTCATCTGGCCCTGGCGTTTTCTATTTTGAAAAATTATTATTGATTCAATTTCTTTAATAAGTATAGATTTATTCAGACAGAATTTGTGGGCATACAGTTTGTTCATAATATTATTTTACTATCTTTTTAATGTCCATGAGATCATTAGTGATATGACCTCTTTCATTTCTAGTACTAATAATTTATGTCTTTTTTTTTTAATTAACTTGGCCAGACAATTATCAAGTTTATTGATCTTCTCAAAGAAACAGCTTTCAGTTTTATTGATTCTGTTGATTTCCATTTTTCAATTTCACTGATTTCTGGTCTAATTTTTATTATTTCTTTTCTTGTTTTGTTTTATTGTAAGATACTTGACACATGATGTCATTAGTTTCAGGTACAAACACAGTGATTCACCTTCTGCTAACTTTGAATATCATTTGTTCTTTTTGTCTCCTGTGGTAAAAGCTTAGATTATTAATTTTAGATTTTTTTCTTCACTAATATACGCATTCAAACTATTAAATTTCCCTCTAAGCAATGCTTTCACTAACCCACACATTTTGATACATTTCTATCAACTTTTCCTTAAGCTCACTGATTCTTTTCTCTGACATTTCATGTCTAGTGATGAATCCATCAAAGGCATTCTTCATTTCTGCTGTTTTCTATTTCTAGAATTTCCTTTTGATTCTTATTGTTTGCATCTTTCTGCTTACATTACCCATCTATTCTTACATGTTATCTACCTTTTCCATTAAGGTCTTAGTATATTAACCATAGTTGTTTTAAATTCCCAGTCTGAGAATTCCAACATTTGTTGCCATCTGAGTCTCATTCTAGTACTTGCTCTTTAAACTGTGGGGTTTTCTTCTTCTTATCTTTAGTGTATACTATAATTCTCTGTTGAATGCCAGATATGATGTACTGGATAAAAGGAACTGAGGTAAACAGGCATTTTGTGTGAGATTTATGTTTATCTGGCTAGGAATGAGGCTGTATTTACCGTTTGCTGTAGCTACAGATGTTAGAGGCTAAAATTTCCTCTGGTGTCCTTGTTTTTGTCTCCCTTGCTGTCTTTTTTTGTTGTTGTTGTTTAATGTTTATTTATTTACTTTGAGACAGAGAGAGAGCAAATGGGGGAGGAGCAGAGAGAGAATCCCAAGCAGGTTTGTGCTGTCAGCACAGAGCTTGACACGGGGCTCGAACTCACAAATCATGAGATCATGACCTGAGAGTTGGACACTTAACAACCTGAGCCACCCAGGTGCCCCTCCCTTGCTGCCTTTACAGATTTCTTAAATATTAAGTCTGAGACATTATTAAGACAATATTAAGTCTTTTAGTTGTATTCCCTTATTATACAGGTGCCCTATTGATATGGTGGGAAGATGTGGGAGGAAGGGAAGCATTCCAGAGTTCTGTGATTAGGCCTTTGTCTTTTAGTGAGTTTGCGCCCCTGGGCTGTTACCTTCAAAAAGCCTCTAAGTTGTTGATTTTCAGTTTTTTCAGATTTTTTCTTGTGAGAACAGGAGTAGAAGCTTCCAAGCTCCTTCTAAGCTGAACCAGAAGTATTTTTAACTTTTTAAGAAATGGCTAAACTGTTTTCCAAAAGGGTTTGTACCACTCTAAATTCCCACCAACAGTATGTGAGAGTTACTCCACCAGGGCTGGCAATAGGGTGAGGCAAGCAAGGAGCCTAGGGTACAATATTTAAAGAGGTACCTACTCTTAGATTCTCATGCCCCTTCATATTTTACATCTCAGGCACCCTGCCAGCCTCATCCTAATACTTACCCTATCCTTCATATCTTCACCAAAATATGAAAGAATATGTGTAGACATGGTATTGTTTTTTCCTTAAATATTTGGTAGAAATCAACAGTGAAGCCATGAGTGCTTGAGTTTGCTTCTTGAAAAGGTATTTAACATCAATTTCTTTAATACTTTAATAAGTATAAGGCTATTCATGTTATCTATTTCTTCTTGAGTGAGATTTGGTCATTTGTGTCATTCAACAAATATGTCAGTTACTCTAACTTGTTAAGTTTATTGGCATAAAATTGTTCAAATTAGTCTTGTAACCACTGTAGAATCTGTAGTGATGTCATCACTCTCATTCTTGTTATTGGTGATTATGTTTTTTCTTCCTGGATCAGCATTGCTTATAGGTCTGCCAATTTTTTTTAAGTTTTTTTTTTTTTTAACGTTTATTCATTTTTGAGAGACAGAGAGAGACAGAGTGTGAGCAGGGGAGGGGCAGAGAGAGGGAGACACAGAATTTGAAACAGGCTCCAGGCTCTGTCTGAGCTGTCAGACCAGAGCCTGACGCAGGGCTCGAACTCTCAAACTGCGAGATCGTGACCTGAGCTGAAGTTGGACACTAAACCAACTGAGCCACCTAGGCGCCCCGGTCTGCCAATTTTATCGATCTTCTCAAAGAATCAGCTTAGGGTTTCACTGATTTTTCTCTACTGTTTCTCTACTTTCTAGTTCACTGATTTTGACTTTGATGTTTCTTTCTTTCTTCTGATTATTTTGGTTTAAATTTGTTCTTGTGGTAGCTTTTTAAGGTGGAAGTTGAAGTCACTAATTTGAGACTATTCTTCTTGTGTAATATATGCATCTACTGCTATAAATTGTTCCCTAAGTACTGCCAGAGTAGCATGCCACAAATTCTGATATGTTGTGTTTTTATTTCCACTCAGTTCAAACAAGAGCTGCCTTTGGAACAACGTAGGGGCTAGGGACACCAATGTCCAATAATCAAAAATCCAAGTATAACTTTTAACTCTCCAAACACTTAACTACCAACTACTGTGGACCAGAAGCCTTAACAGTAACAAAAAGTCAATTAACACACATTTTGTATATTACACATTACATATTATTTCTTAAAATAATCTAGAAAAAAAATGTTATTAAGAAAATCATAAGGAAGGGGCGCCTGAGTGGCTCAGTCAGTTGGGCATCCAATTTTGGCTCAGGTCATGATCTTGTGGTTCCTGAGTTTGAGCCCTGGGTCGGGCTCTGTGCTGGCAGCTCAGAGCCTAGAGCCTGCTTTGGATTCTTGTCTCCCTCTTTCTCTGTCCCTCCCCTGGCTCATGCTGTCTCTGTCTCTCTCTCTCTCTCTCTCTCAAAGATAAACATTAAAAAAAAAAAAAAAGTTTGTTTTTAAAAAAAGAAAATCATAAGGAAAATACATTTACAGTACTGTGACTGTACTTATCAAAAAAATCTGCATATAAGTGGATCTGCATGGTTCAAACCAAGTTGTTCAAGGATCAATGGTTCTAATTTCCTTTTCCTCTTCAACCCACATTTTTATTTAGAAGTGTTAATTTTGGTTTCCAAGTATTTGTGGATTTTCCACACACTTTTCTGTCAATAATTTCTAATTTAATTCTATTGTGGTCAAAGAATATACTTTGTATGACTTGAAGACTTTTAAATGTATTAACATTTGTTTTATGGTTCAGATTATGTTGATAAATGTTCCAGGAACACTTCAGAAGAAAATGTATTCTTCTGTGTTGGGTGGAATGTTATTTCAATGTGTTCTTTCAAAGTCAATTCAGGTTGATTGACAGTGCTGTCATTGAGCACTTGTTATTGAGAGACAAGTATTAAAATCCCCAACCAGAATTGTGAATTCAGCCATTTCCCCCATAAAAACCAGAATTGTGAATTCATCCATTTCCCCCATAAAATTCCTACTTTTTGTTTCATATATTTTGAAGCTCTGTTTTTACAGACTAAATGTTTAGAAATATATCCTCTTGATTAACTTAACACTTTTATCATTATAAAATAATCGTTACCCCTAGGATAGTCTTTGCTTGGAAATCTGCTTTGGTTGGTATTAATACAGCCATTCCAGCTTTCTTTTGACTGGTGTTAGCATGGTATATCTTTTTCCATCGTTTTACTTTTCAAATGTTCTGTGTCTCTGTATTTAAAGTACACTTCTTATAGGCAGCATACAGTTGGGTCTTGCTTTTTCATCCAATCTCACACTCTCTGACTTGTAATCAGGGTGCTTAAACATTTACATTTAATATGATTATTGACAGGGTTAGGTTTAGGTCTATCATCTTTAAGTTTTTCTTTTTTCTCATCCATTCTTTGCTCCCTTTTTACCCTTTTTCTGCCTTTGTTTGCATTGAGAATTTTTTTCATTTCATGTTATCTCTTCTGTTGGCTTATTAGCTATAATACTTTGTTATTTTAGTGGTTGCTTAAGGGTTTATTGTTCATAATCCTTGTTAGAAATGTAAGCTTTTTAATGGAGAGAAATAGTGTGTTTTGGTCTCTGTTGTATCCCTAGTGTTTAGAACAGTGCCTGGCACATGGAAGGCATTTAATAAATATTTGATCAATAAATGGATAAACAGAGAAGCCAAATGGTAGGTTATGGGGCATGAGATTACAAACCATCAAAAAGAAGGCATATTAAAGCTCATCCACTTAACAACATCCAGACAGCTATGATTGTTGAAAACAACACAAAAACTTGGGGCACCTGGGTGGCTCAGTTGATTAAGCATCAGACTCTTGTCTCAGCCCAGGTCTTAATCTCAGGGTCATGAGTTCAAGCCCCATGTTGCACTCCATACTAGGTAGGCATGGAGCCTACTTTAAAAAAAAAAAAAAGAGGAACACAAAAACTCTAGACAGCATATGTGAATATACATTATATAAAAGTAAATAATATTTACAGGTGCTGTACAAAAATAGTAGGTAGTACTAAAAATTAACCAGATACTGTATAGTACTAATGCCAATAGTGTAATCATATTTAGCCTATTTCCAAATCATAAAAGGAACAAAGTAATCAAGTGAAATGAAGTCAGCTAAATGCAAATTAGGCTTGCTAATGAAAAAAGTATAAAAAGGGATATTATAAAAATATAAATATCCCCTCTTCTACATGTAATATAAAACGTGATCACTATAGTTAATAACACTGTATTGCATATTTGAAAGTTCCTAGGAAAGATTTTTTAAATCCTCATAACGAAAAAAAAAATTTTTGTAACTATGTATGGTGACAGAGGTTAACTAGACTTATGGTGACCATTTTGCAATATATATAAATATCAAATCATTATGTTGTACACTTGAAACTATTATAATGTTATATGGCAATTATATTTCAGTAAAAAAAGAAGTTTTAATATCCCCTGTTCCATTTTAAAAGTGAGTTTCTTAAAAAACTAAAATGGTAACCAAAATTATATTGAAAATACTGACTAAAAATGAATAACAAGCCATCTCAAACTTAGGACCACTCGCTCAGAACTGAATGTAGAGCAATATATTATGTCTAAAGGTATCAAGACTATCTGCCAGAGCTAGCATGCTCTATTAAATTCTTTGTGGTAAATAAGAAACAAAGAAACAGTTCTATTCTGCTCATTTCTTAAACTTCACAAATCATCTGGGTTTTACTGGCCTAACAGAACAATTTTCTCCTTGGGAGGCAGGGTGAGTTGCATGTTGAATCTTAGCACTATTAGAAAAGTATAAGTGTGAAAAATCACTCCAGTAAGAGAAATATATTTACATATATCTAAGCAAAGAATTAAATACAACCCAGGACAGTAGAATGAATATAGACAGAAAAGAATACTGTAAGCTCATCAAAGATTATTGGTCAAAAATCTATAATAAATCAAACTAAAGATCTTTCTATCCCTTTTGACCTGACTTCAAGATTAGATATTACCTGAGAGATTTCCTGTTGATACACTGTAAAATGTTCCTTGCTGATCTGTGGGAGGTAGAATGAAGGTATGACTTCAGTGTCCACAAAGTCCAATCCCCATGTTTTTGTGAAGAAGTCAGATTCTCTTTTTGCTAATCTAGGATCATTTAATGCTGCTGGGAGGTTTACTTTGGAATGATATATAGTCCATCTATGTTGATCTGTAACTAGAGATGGGGTAACACATAAACTATTTGAATCACCTGCAAAAAGTAAACAAGAAAACTCTGTAAACTAAGTTCTACATTTGAAAGTACATCCAAGAAAAATAAAAATTGCTTAGTTTCTGCTCTATGCCAAGGCACCAAAATCTCTCTTTTATAACAAACGTTTTAATGAAAATCAATCTGATTAAATAAACTTCAGCTTTCAGCATCAATTGCCAAGGGAGGGAAAAGCATGTAAAAGATAAAGAATACACAAAATTTGAGAGTTGTATTTGCATCACGGGGTGGATCATAAAGAAAGTCTTTCATTAGTTCCTTTCCTTAATGTACAATTTCTCTTTTTTCAACATCAAAACTCTTCTACCTTTTTATTATATATATTCTATCCTTTAATACTCCATATTTTTCACAGGTTTACCTCTTTTCTGTTGTATTATGGCAGACACACCTGGTTCTAATATCCTTTGTTTGGCTTATGATTAGATGCCAGAAATGCTGCTGTGGCATTAATCATAGAGGAAACAAAAATATATAGTCAATTCTTGTTATTCATGGTAGTTTTGTTCTATAAAGTCATGGTAACAATTAGCAAATACGGAACCACTATTCCTAGGGGAAACAGAGGGGTAGGTACCTCCAAGCCTCTGTTCACAAAATTTTCATCAACCAGTCAATAAATAATCTTCTTCTGTGTTTCTGTTTAAAGACACCTTATTTAATATATATTGTTCATTCATTAACACTGAACTCATGGCTCACACCACTGTAATTCATACCTGAATGAATTTTCTTCATTAGTGCATACATTGCAGTCTTTTTGTGCTTAGAAACATTAGAAAGCACTTCAGCCCTACATCTGGTAACCATTTTTAAACAGCAAAAGCACCAATAAAAAGCTCAAAAATGCAAAAAATGTGGCACTGTTTAGACCACAAAAAAAGATACTTGTTTATAGCATGAGAGCTAAGACAAGAAGGCAAAGTGTTGCCTTGTTCAACCTTAGGTAGGTACATGTGCATCAGGCAATTCAAATTTTTCATTCCTCTGCAAATGGCTGCAAATAATGACAAAAGTGCCACAAGTATTGATTTTAGGGTTACAAATAAATTTCAGGGATCAGGCAAACTTACAAACACAGAATCCACAAATAATAAGAATTGACTATACTATGTTTAACTAAAAAGCTTCAAATCTCTAGCTTCCGTTTTCAAAACTTTTTTTTCCGTTTATGCAAGTAATTTCTTCTATGGAAATGCATGAAAAGAACTATATTCCAATTTTCCAATCAACTTCCAAATTATCTATCTCTTTAGTTTTAACACTATAAAATTTATTCTTTTAAGTATAGCTGACCTTTGAACAATGGAAGGATTGGGGTACAGACCACTCCCCTCCCCATGTAGTCAAAAATCCACATCTAACTTCAACTCTGCCAAACTTTACTAATAGCCTACTGTTGACTGGAAGCCCTACAGATAACATAAATAGTCAATTAACACATTCTGTATGTTATATATATTATATACTATATCCTTACAAATAAAGTAAGCTAGAGGAAAGAAAATATTACTAAAAAATCCATAAGGAGAAAATATAGTTATAGTACTGTACTGTATTTATAAAAAAAAAAAAAAAAAAGCTACATATAAGTGGACTCCTGTAGTTCAAACCCCATGTTGTTCAAGGGTCAACTGTATACAGAATCTGACTACTCATTTAAAGAGAATACAAACCCTCAGGAAAAATCTTCAAACCAACGAACAGAAAAAGGCCTTACCTGTGGGCTCCTTGGGACATACATCTGGCAGTGACTGCACAGGTCGAATGTGTTTTGTTGGATCTACCTCTTTTTTAAAGAAAACATCTCTGCTGCTTCCTTGAGGCACTGGTGAAGAACTGTGGCTTGAAGCCATTGCATAAAATCACCACTCAACTGAAAATAAGTAACAAGTAATAATCAAGATACTTAACACAAATCAAAATTCATCTGTAAGTATTATGCAGGTCTCACACTTTCTCTGAAAAGGATACATTATCCAAAAATCCCTCAAGGTATAAGTATACAATTTGAATACTATTAACTGTATCACTCATAATTAGTTACTAAGAAAGTAATTTGTCCTTGTTTGAAAAGTATTCTCCCGGAAGTGAAATATCTTCAGTCTTTTATCCAAAGTGCAAAATAGATACCAAAGCTGTAACCAATTATATATTAAAGATGAAAACATCCATTCATTCAGCAAGCATACAGTAATTACGCATTATAAGCAAATGGGTTTTTGAAGTCTGACTGCAGAAATTCTTCACTTACCAGCAGTATAACCTCAAGGAAATTTACTTAACCTTTGTGTACCTTACCTCATTTGTAAAAATGGACATGAAAAGAGCTCCCATTTCACAAACATTTTGTAAGAGTAAAAGGAATGGATGTATATATAAAGCATTTAAAACAACGTTCGTCTCAAAAGTTAGTGTTTATAAATGTTAGTTACCGTCATGATTATTACGACTAAGTGACAACCGACAACCGTTATCAATTATAAAAGAAGTATTACTCTCCAAGGTGTCTGCAATTACATTAAGTAATGACAACAATCAAAACACTAAGCAAAACACAGGTTAACCTATGTCTACATTGTTCACTAGGTCCTAAAAGAATTTGTGGGGCAAGACAACATAACGTAGGCTACAGTTTCAGGTAAAACTTTACAAATGAAGCAGTACATAACCTGGATACTGAAGAATATGTATTATTTTATTACTGGAGAGTAGATAATCTTATAGTGCAGAGTATACATATCAAATAACAGGTATTCAATAAACATTTTTCAATGAAGGAATAAATAAATGAACATAAACAGAAGTTTACAGCTGAAAGGGAACTTAGAGAGATCATCTAGTCTAAGTTCCCTCATACTGGAGATAAGTATAGCAAGGCTCAGAAAGACTAGGGGGTTTACAAAGACACATGGGTTTTAACAAAAAAAAAAAAAAAAAAAAAAAAGCCTACTCAGGAAATCTGGTGAATATACTAAGGGTAAGAAATAAAGAGCAGAGACAAAGCTGAGAATGGTGACAAAAAATTAATCTACTCTAACTCTCCCCTAGCTTAGTGGAAAGCTAAAACTGACATTTCCTAGACTTCTTTGGTTTTTTTTTATTTTTTATTAGTTTTCTTTATTTTTGAGAGACAGAGAGAGACAAAGCGTGTGGGGGGGAGGGGCAGAGAGAGAGGGAGACACAGAATTGGAAGCAGGCTCCAGGCTCTGAGCTGTCAGCACAGAGAGAGCCCGATGCGGGGCCCGAACTCACGAACCGTGAGATCATGACCTGAGCCAAAGTTGGACGCTCAACTGACTGAGCCACCCAGGCGCCCCCCAGACTTCTTTGATTATCTGTCACAGTCCTCCTAATGCAAAAGAAACAAATCCAATTACACCACTAAGACCGTAAGAAACAAACTGTTAAGAAAATGCACAAAGATAAATAACTTCCTTAGGGTCCCTGAACAGAAAGCAAACAATAACATGAACAAAGGTTAAGGGACATGGAATAATCATTAAGACTATGTGGAAACTGACATGGCTAGAGTAAAACGCTTGTATTGGGAAGTACTGAAAAATAAATCATACTTAAATACACACACACACACACACACACACACACACACACAGAACATGGCCAGATGAATTAATCAGGGTCTTGGTTTGAAAGGGATCACTGGCCTGTTACATATATATCCATACACATTAAGTGTATGGTTTTATATATATACATATATATATATGTATACATATATACATGTATACATATATATATGTATATATATATATAAAACATATATTTGAGAGAGAAAAGATAATCTAAAGGATAGGAAAGTATATAATACATAATCCTGTATATCAAGTATTTAGTAAGGATAATTCCAAATTTAACATAAGGTCTATTTAACTTTATTAATTTCATCAAATAAAATGGCTAAATTAAAGACATTTTGACATTTGTAGAGGTAAGCTACAAATATATGGAAAATGTATTTATATTGATTGCCCATTGCTTGGTGTCAGATAAATCAAATACTGATTGATAGCACACTACTATTTCAATTTATACTATTTACCATCATGTTGTTTTAACAGCAAAAAGAAATCCTAAGCGCCATCTCAGGAAGCCAGAAATACTTGAGGAGATGGAGACTAAACTAGTCTAGAAAAAATTTCTAGACTCCTATAAGTTATTTCAGTATTTGAGGTGGTGGGGGAGTGGTACCTTATTAACTCTTTAAAGATTCTGAACTGGGACACATATGTAGGTTTTGTTTGTTTGTTTTCCTACACTTCTAATTCTTCTTATGAAATGGGGGAACATCTCTAACTATAAAGAGAGTATGTAAAATTAGGGGACTGCCTATATAGGGGAGTCCCAATTTCAAACCATTTGTCTCTCCATTTCTTTCAATCATCCTGAGTTTATTAAGATTTCCCCACAGTAAGAACCAAACGTTGTATTAATGGCCACATAAGTATGATGCAGATACTTAGTGTGGGGGGGAGGTGCAATCACTAGTAATAAAATATTTTGGATTTATTCATAAGGCATGGATGCATAAACAAATACACCAAATCCCTGTGGCCTCTAAACCAAACAACTTCAGCAAAAAAAATAATCTTTCATTGAAAAGCTAAAGAACAGAAATGATGAGGCATCCTAGTAAGAAAGTTTCAGTGTAACCTAAGAATAGTTTGTCTATCCAGAAAAAAAAAAAAAAAACTAGCAAAAACAATAACAAAAAACACAGAATACAGAGAAAAAGAAAGCTCTATGCACTAAATGCAGGTAACCTCTGATTTCTAATACTTCCACTTTACATCTAGAAACAAATTTGGCATTTAATCAGCGGTCACCTACAATGAGAATCTGTAAATCACTCCACCATTCTTTACACAATCATCTTTTCATAATTATATCAATACCATACTCAACTATTATATTCTCTTGAAGCCTTCTTCGGTTTCTCACACTTAAGTCACCCTTTATGTATTTCTATTTTTGCAACAACCATACTGAAAATTTGGTCTTTATACAGGTCTTCTCTATTAGACTATGAACTTCTTGATGTTTCCATTTTCCTGTGTATTCTATGTGCCTAACACAATTCCTGGCACACAGATAGATATATAATAAATACTTTAGAGATGGATTAAATGGGTAATATGTAGAACAGATCAGAAGAGAGATGTTAGTTAGACAGCTACTGATAATCCTTAAGTGAATAGATAAGAGCATGGGTATGAGTTGATAAGGAAAGAAACAGTCTCATTCATTTCATTCCAAAAGAATTTGTAAGGATGAGTAAGATCAGAAACATGTGTACAGGAGTGCTGATGCATAGCGGCACTTGTACCCCAATGTTTACAGCAGCACTTTCAATAATACCCAAATTATGAAAAGAGCCTAAATGTCCATCAACTGATGAATGGACAAAGAAGTTGTGGTTTATATACACAATGGAATACTACGTGGCAATGAAAAAGCCATAGCGCTGTAGCAATGGATGGAACTGGAGAGAGTGTTATGCTAAGGCTGAAACAAGTCATAGAGAAAGACAGATATATTTTCACTCTTATATTGAATCCTGAGAAGCTTAACAAGAAGACCATGGGGGGAGGAAGGGGAAAAAAAAGATTACAGAGAAGGAGGCAAACCAGAAGAGACTCTTAAAAACTGAGAATAAACTGAGGTTGGGGTGGGAGGAGGGGAAAGTGGGTGATGGGCATTGAGGAGGGCACCCGTTGCGATGAGCACTGGGTGTAGTATGGAAACCAATTTGACAATAAATTTCATATTAAAAAAAAAAAGAAACATGTGACTGTCTTTCTTTTATAGCTCAAAGTATCTTTTTATGTTACAAGTTAGGTTAAAAGCTTCTATTAAAAGTTCCTAAAACAATGTCACTCCAGAAGCACAGAGCATACAAAGGGCTCGGACTGGTTTCTAAATGTAGGCACACACTGTTTTTCCAAAGTTTGCATTATGCCAGTCTGCTTTTACTAAAGACCTACATTAGCACCTGTTTTCACTAACCAAAAGAAATCCAAAGAGGATTTTTGCTTTTCTTTAAAAAGGTGAGAGGCAAAAACCGCATTCAGCGTTTGCAGCAAGCCATCACAGAGGCAGGACACACCCAAAGCAGCAAGTGTAGCACTGCCAAACTACCTTCCTGAAATTACACTCAGCACCTCACAAACAAGCTACCGTAGCTTTGAACCGTGTATCTTAGTATCTGTGCTTTTTCTCAATTTATTCTAGGCAACCATTGGTAATACGTGTCTTAAGAAATAGGAGAAGCCTAAAACATGTCATTTTGGGGGTCTGGGAACGTTCAAACATTTTCCCATAAAAATTAATGGTAAGTGTTTCTCTGCTTTACACTATTTCAGTTTTACAAAAGATTTCACAGGTATGCTCTACTTTCAAGTAATAAGTGAAAACTATACCATCTTCACAAAGAAACCACGGTTCACTGAAGAAATATCTGAGTTCAGACCTGGAGCACAGGGGAAAAAAAAAAAAGTTGATCCTGAGAACTCTTGCGTCAGAAAGCAAGTAAATGCTCAAAGACCAGAAGGATCTGTCAAAAGGACAAAGGACCAAGTAAAAAGGGTGCTCAAATGCCACTGGCGGGAC